ATAGTTAGAATGCAGGATTTAACCTCAAAATATCCGCATGAATGAAAATGCAGGGTTGTGTAAACTTCGAATTGAAATGAATTGAACTTAAACTTTTCTGACGGCAATTTACCAATTTCTAATTGAACCCCGAAATTTCGAACGGCACTTACAAATTTCTAATCGAACCTGGAAATTTCTGACGATATTTACAAATTTCTAATCGAACCTAGACATTTCTGACGGCGCTCACGAATTTCTAATTGAACCTAAACGTTTCTGACGACCGTTACCAATTTCTGATCGAACCTAGAAATTTCTAGTGTAAACTATAAACTTCTAGTGGCACTCAGAAACTCCGATGAAGAAGAACCATCGATGAAGGAAATATCGACGGACGGTCGCATGTAAACGACGGCGCTCCGATGGAATCGCAAGACACCGGCCGTAATACGCGAGAAGGAAAATAGCGGCAATACCGTTGAGTGGCCGGAATGGTGGCCTAGGGGACCGACAAGCTCCCGGGGATAAGGATTTGCTCCAGGGGGAAATGCCCCGTGCGAGTGGCACATGCGGGAATGCATATTCAGGGATCAGGGAGCGCAGGTGCGGCCATTTCTGGCGCTTACGGGGCTCCTGGCGGTCCTCCTCCATCCGAATCTCATCCTTCTCACCAGATCCTCCATCAAACTTTTCTCCCGGAGCGTCACAACTTTCCATAGATGGCAAATTTATTAAGTCGAGGCTCCGTCGCCTCAGAAATCGTGTTTACCACCCCGAAACTGCACTACGTACTTTCCTTAACTCGTTTATTCATTGTTCGACTGCATTTCTGCGCAGTTCAAATGCTTGGCATTTTATTGATTCGAAGAAATATCTAGCAAACTAGAGTCGTTGGTTATTCATTGCCTATAAAACAGAGCTATGCATTATTCGAATTGTTTCGAACACACACACACACACACACACACACACACACACACACACACACACACACACACACACACACAAATACACACACACACACACACACACACACACACACACACACACACACACACACACACACACACACACACACACACACACACACACACACACACACACACACACACACACACACACACACACACACACACACACACACACACACACACACACACACACACACACACACACACACACACACACACACACACACACACACACACACACACACACACACACACACACACACACACACACACACACACACACACACACACACACACACACACACACACACACACACACACACACACACACACACACACACACACACACACACACACACACACACACACACACACACACACACACACACACACACACACACACACACACACACACACACACACACACACACACACACACACACACACACACACACACACACACACACACACACACACACACACACACACACACACACACACACACACACACACACACACACACACACACACACACACACACACACACACACACACACACACACACACACACACACACACACACACACACACACACACACACACACACACACACACACACACACACACACACACACACACACACACACACACACACACACACAAATAGTTACGTAAAATAATTATTCGAATGAATTCTTTTCAGTCGAATGTCTTATTCGAATTACAATTATGCATTATTCTTAACGAATTATTTTATATATTTATTCGAATGATTTTTCATCTATTGTTCGAATAATTTCTTCATTTCTTATTCGAATAATTCTTCATTTCTTTTCAGAACAATTCCTCAGTTTTTATTCGAATAAATTATTCGAATAGAGATTGTAAGATTATTCGAACAATAACGCGAATTGTTTTTATTATTATATATTTTTATCATTTTTACTCCGTTTTGTGGAATCCTCTATTATTTCAATACAATGGTTCACATGCAAACCAAAAAGCTGCGTAAATAAAAATGTAGGTATTAGTTTGAACGTTTCGCTAAATAATCCGCATATTATAAGGATACAGAATAAATGAAAGTTACTTAAATATAATAAATAAGTCCACTTATTTTTGCCCGCGACTGTATATCCAATTTTTGACAATTACGTACTCAGAAAAGGTTAAAAAATCTTCTCTTAAACAACAATCTTAAACGAACCTAATACTAATAGAAAAAAAGAACCTAATAATTTCTAATTTTACAAACGATTCAAAATTGATAATCATTAATCTCTCAAAGGAAGCACATTCTTTTCGGAAGAAATGCTCCAGCATCGAGTAAAATGGCTTCCTCGTATAACGAAAGGGTTGCTGTAGGAAATTAGGATTGAAAGTATGCGCCTTTAAAAAGACAGAGATGATTTTCGTTATGGTGGTTTAGCCGCGAGAATTTCTCTCGATATTCTCGTGGACAAGGGTGCCGGAGTGGTCGCGACACGCTGCTGAGGCTCGAGAGAGAGCGCGAGAGGGAGAGAGAGAGGGAGAAAGAGAGATTGAAAGAGAGAAAGAGAGAAAGAAAGAGAGAGAGAGCTCCATGGTTCGGCCGCTCTCCCAGATCAATAATACCATCCCTTTCTGAGAGCATGCGCGACGGAACAACCCCGTAAGCGGGCTGGTTTCCACCCCCGACGCGCTTCTCGCACCCCTCCATGCAACATTCATAGCGCCATCAATATTATACGCGCGAAATAATAACCTGTGCATTTATTACGAGGGGGTGGAGGCATCGGGTCTCCAACCCCCGCCCTCACTCTGCTCGAGAGGTTTATAAAAAAACCCGGTGGCCGTCGGGGGTGGTAAATTATGCGTGTAAACGGTTATGCAAATCGATTGGTCGACGGGCGACCATTGATGGATCGAGAGCTTCTTGAAGGCTGTAGAAGGCGTGTTAGGATTGATTGTTTCGCGATCTAAAGAAGATTGTTCTCGATTTAATTGGTTTCTTTACGCGTTGATCGGACCATTTATTTTGTAAGTGCATTTCTTGCCATTTTGACAGAGCATTCAGTGAATGACCTTTCACCGGCCAATTAGTTGTCATAATTTGTTTGTAAAGTGGGTAAGTTGCTGTGAGTATATTTTTTTTAAATACAACACTTTTATAAAATATGAATATAAAATTCAATAAAGAACAGCAACTACATTATTTATATATTTATATATGAAATATGAAGACAATCGAATATATGTGTACAGCGAAATTACATTTGATTGTCTTCATATTTCATATGTAAATATATAAACAATGTAGTTGATGTTCTTCATTGAATTTTATATTCATATATATATATATATAATAGACTTAATAATAAAATATATAAATTACTCCATAATAATCCTTGTACTTATTTAAATCAAATTTATCTCCGTATTTATATTTATGTTGTTTATGCATATAAATCAATTCATATATTTAATATTACTATGAAAAAT